TGACTTTGCTCTCGTACTTAGATGGTGTAAGCAGAATGGTAGTTGTGCTCCTCCTCTAGGCTTTCTGTCCCAATTCATTTCTACAACAGACTTGTAAAATAGTCCCTTTGGTATATAACCCTAGGCCTGGACATGGATGGGTTAGAGGTTTTTCTTTTAGATCGAATTGACCCAAACTAGCTTTTACATTCTTTGTAAAGAAGGGGTCAATATTTCATCCACCAAGAGCCAATGGAGATGACCAGAAGTATCCTGAGAAGTTCTGTGAGGGACTGCCTTCTCCTGTTTTGAGTTTGTATCACTCAGGTTAAATATGTGCAGCTCAATCCCAGGCACTAGCTGGGCAAAGTAACTTTATTCAAGGCACAGTCATAGCAATAAATAGAATGAGAAGAAGATACAGAACTCTGTCACATTCCTGTCCGGCAACACAGCCAAAAGAAAACATACCCACTCACAGGCACTTTGCCTTCTTGAAATATAGAAGCAGCTACGAAAGAAGGCCTTGAGGTGTGCTACATGAGCATGTGAATAGGCAAGGGTTAAATCATGGGCACCAGGAGGAGCATTGGGTATCCTCATTTCTCAGCACTGCTCCTGGAATTCACCTTCGAACCCCACCCCCAACAAGGGCAGTAAATCTCAGAACATGTGAATGTGAAGTAGGGGGCTCCACACCTTGGCAAATACTCTTTTGGAATATAGCGCCCAGAATCCCTCACCCTGGCCATGCTCTGGGCAGCTCCTTTTCAGGAAGTTATATTACTGAAAGGCTGAACAGCCCACATGTATGTGTGTATGCATGCTGCTCCTCGTTAGCAATCATGAAGATGGAGGTGAGTCCTTCCCTTTCTACTGAAGCTAGACATATGACTGAAAGTGCGATTTTAATTCTCTTCCTTGGGATCAGTAGCCCAATACTTCTGCTGTTTGTATATTTACTCACATATAAGTTCCTCTGCTATCAATAAGACTTGCTCAAGGTGTGTGCAGTTTGAAGCTTAGACTGAGTTAATCCAGCTCTAAACCTTGTGTGGATTGATTCAACTCTTATTTTAGTAGTAGGTATATATAGCTACAACTTTGTTGATACAGAAGGTTCACCCATTCTTCCTTGGTCTAGCTTACACTGGTTCTTGTAGGACTCTCAGTTCCCCCCCTCAAAAAAAGTTTTTATTGGAGAAAGTATGGTGACAATTAATGTAACAAACAGATGTGGGTGTGTGAAGAAATAATATCTTACTGAAATAAATTAGTGGACTAAGACCAAATATTGCCACAGGCAGCAAGTGACAAGGGATATAGGTGAACATATGCCCTCAGATCTGGAGCCTTGGCAATATGCTGGCTTCTACAGCAAGGATAGGGGGAACGTTTGGCTGTCCAGATGCTGTTCCTCCTAAGGCCATTGATAGGGGATTGTGTGAATGGTGGCTCCCAACATCTGGAAGGCCCAAAGGCTCTCCTTGCTCTTTCTCATCAGGAGAAAGCCAGCCTATAAATGCAACAAACACACAAACTCACAAGTCCTGTTTCAGAGTAGTCATTGGTGCCAGTCTTCTTTTGTTACCATATACTATGACAAGAACCTTCTCTCTCTTTCTCTTTCTCTGTCCTTTTGTGTTGTCTCTACTAGGACAACTCTTTGTTCTACCCTCTGCCACTTGCACATCTGAAATCACATCGGCAAATGCTATTAGTGGATTGCAGAACACAAATAGGTCATCAGCTAGAACTCAGACATAGTTTGTATTAGTCCTTTTCTGTCACAGTTTCTATGAAACCAAGGACTAGGACCATTCCTTTCCTATTCACATTCTCCTCCCGTCTTTAAAATTCACAGGCCAATTATTCATTTGATCAAGTTTTTTATCTAGATCTTGTTTCAAAACATGCTGTGCATTTTATGCACAAATACTCCCAGCCTACTTTTCAGAATGTGGCTCATTCACAGCACCTTTCCCTATAAGACCCCAGGTGTCTGCATATGGTACAAAGTGCAGACTCACTTTGGAACAAACTCTTTGGGCTTCTGAATACAGCAACACTTCTCACTGATGCCTCTGTTTCCACAACACAGCATGAAACACTGCCCTACAGACACTTCCATTGACTCAGCAGACGGGAGAAAAGCAATGAAAAAGCATGGCACATTGCATAGAGTACAACTGTCAGTGAAAAGGTTACAGAATACATTTCAAAACTTACACATTCATGATATTTACTGCAGGGTGCACTGAAGCAGCACCATGTACACTGGAAAATACTGGGGTCCCATCATGTCATATTCATCAGTTCTGACATGAAAATCTTTTTTTTAAGGCAGGAAGAATACTGTGATGTGTTTTCCCTGATTTAAACAAAGACAAAATACTTTGTCCCCAGGTCTGTTAAACAGGATCGTATCTATCCTGACTTGGAATGCAGCAGCTCTAATGAGCCTGTGTTGCATCCAAACCAATCATCGCCCCTTTTGGCTATTAGACAAGGGGCAACTAGGTAGCCTATGGCCACCTCAAAACATAGAAGATCGTGACACTACAACACATCCAAGCCTTTGTGTAAGCATCATTAGCCAAGTCCTGGCTTTGTATGGCAGGGAATGGCAACTTAGTCCATCTACAGCTGCAGGCTTTAGGGTACAGCATTGACTCAAATCCTATTGCCTGCATAACACCAATCTCCATCTGCATAACTTTGAATGGTGAATTAAGAAGTTGGAAATGCCTACAGTGACTTCTTAACTTCTGGCAATTTGCTGCAGAACAAGCTTCTGATCATTGTTAGGAATTTTTATCAGACAAGGTGCATGAATTACTTTTGATAAGAAAAGAAAAACCCAGAGTGCAAAAGAGATATATGAATCTCTCTCTCTTTCTCTGTTAATAGATTTAAAGACACAGTATTCAAAACTATTTAAAGAATTTTGGAAAGCTCTTATTTATTACCCAGAGTGCAAAAGAGATACAGTATATGAATCTCTCTCTCTCTCTCTCTGTTAATAGATTTAAAGGCACAGTATTCAAAACCAGTTAAAGAATTTTGGAAAGCTCTTATTTATTTCTAAACTTCTCACCTACTCTTAAATATCACCTTCCTGCTTGTGCGCCCCTATAAAGTGGTGTTCAGAGGCACAGTGCCTTTGATCCTGCAAACAGCATATAGCTGTCATGATGATGAGTAGCCACAGCCAACCTTAACCTTCTTGAATTTGGGCCTGGTTCCCCTGCTGGAATAAACTGGGAGAAGGGTTGTTTCTTTTGGATTCAGGCTAAAGTCACATGGACTTCAGCCTGAATCCAAAACTTTTGTGTTGGTGTGTGTGTCCTCAAATTTGCTGCCTCTGCTACTGCCTGTTAAAACAAGGTCAGTGATGGGTAGGGGGAGGGCAAGCGATTGTGTAGGTGAGTGAGCTGGCAAGTGGGCGATCAGGCAGGCTGGCAAGCAGGGGGCAGTCCAACAAGTGAGGTTTTTTTTTTTGCTCCTACTTAATACTTTGATCTATGTATTAGATTCTGCTTCCAATGAATCAATTCCATGTCCGCTTCAAAATAAACCAACTTCTGGTGGAGAAAGGGAAAAACTAGCTTCCCTGGCACATACTGCGCATGTGCACTGTAGCGAACAGCCCTGCCCTCACCTGCCCGTCACCGCAGAACATTAAGGCAGGAGCCAATGAGTGGTCGGAAGGCAGAGCCAAGGGGGGAGGGAGCTGGATATAAAGACTGGTGTATGGAGTCTGAGAGAGATTCTGTGAGTGAGACACTGTGTGTAACTTGAAAGTGTCTGGAAAGTGAGTTAGAGATCTGTAAGAGCCAGGATTGAAACAGAGGGTTAAAAGAGTTTTAAAGTTATATCAGATTTGATTCAAATATAAGTGATTGGCAGCCTGTGATTTGTCCCATGAATATTCGTTTATTTACTTCCCTGATCAAATAAAAGACTTATGTTTTGAACAGCACACTTGTCTCCATATTCTATTGATATTAAAGCATTAATATCTGGTGGCAGCGCAGAAGAAGGAGGAGCGAGATCCTCGTGAAGGCCTGGGGGGATAGGGACTTCAGAGATCACCACATGCACGTACCTAGCGGGTATGCAAAAATTAGGGTTTTTTTTTGAAGAGCAGAAGCCAATATAACAGTGGTTTTTATTGTAAGAAATATCAAACCCTTTGTCTAATTCCCTTATAAATTCATCCAAGCTGGTGGCCACATGCTTACTATGTGACTAGGTCTTTCCTTTTGTCTCTTTTTAATCTCCTGAACTAGAAAGAGGCTTCATTCTTTGACCTATGTATCAGATTCTTTCCAGACAGTACCATTGCAAGGCTGAACTCCATTTATAGTCTACAGGAGAGCAGATCCATTGAATCAACTGCTGGACAGTAGGTAAAAACTTAAGTAAATCCTCCTTATTCAATGGATTTACTTTAGCTGTGACTAGCAACTAGATTTAGGGCTAAGATAACACACTTAATACTCTGAAATGTACAAGTATGTTTGCTTGAGAGCAATTCACACTGCCTTTGGTGGCATCTAACTTCATGGACTGTAATCTTAGATAAACTTCTAACAGAAGAATATATTTCTGTATCATACTGTGATTGCCAGGTGGATTCCACTCCCCTCCCCCACATATATTAAACAGCAGCAGAAAACCATTAAGATTTCTCTATTGTGCAAAACAGGCCTTGATGAGAATTGGATTTCCACTGTTTTTATTCATTTGTTTATGTATTTTAGCCAGGCAGATCTCCTGAACCTGTAATAGTTGCTTGAGAAGAAAAAAAATCTGAAAGGAAATGACTTCTGCTACAGGAACTCAATAACTCTCCCAGTTACAGCATCTAGATGGTAGAAGAGTTTTGCCTCCTTCACAACTATATGAGAGGCAGGAGCTCAAAGCATTTTGTGTGTGTGTGTGTGTGTGTGTGTGTGTGTGTGTGTGAGAGAGAGAGAGAGAGAGAGAGAGAGAGAGAGAGAGAGAGATGTGGGTGGCATGCCTGTTTGCACGTAGGCTGTTCCTTCCCTCTCTTCATTCTCCCAAAGCACAGGCCATTTCTCACATTTTTCAGACTGGCCTGTTACAGGTTCTGCAGTACCGACACAAGAGAGCAATGTCATTGTTGCAGCTACTCCAAATGCAGCACGGTGAATAAGAGAGAAATATTGATCTAATTGGCCATGTATCATATAACTAGAGGGAGCTGAGAGCCCTCTTTTAGAGTGGCAGCTTCAACGCGAAGAGTCACTCCTGCGGATAAGCTGAAAAAGAAAGTAATTCTGATAACCACATCTATCATTTTAATGATCCTCTTAGAGATGATGGGTTGGGCTAGGTCTCATGTCATCATGCAGCTTGAAAGCTGACAATCTTGGGTGTACAGAAGGTTAATGTCATTAAAAGGTAGAAATGTCATCTTTGCTGTCCATTTCACCCAGTCCATTCTTGCTTGATCTGTCATCCCAAATTCCAAACTAGATAAGATTCTGGTATAGCCACATGTCTGGATCTAGATTCTGCAACAGGCATGCAGAATAGATGTGAGAAATGTGTGGGGCTCCCATGTGATGTTACAACTACCATTACCCCTGCCTGTTGGTCATGCTAGCTGGGGCTGATGGGGTTTGAGTCCAACAGGTGCCCCATCCCAAAGCAGAAATGGCTCCAGTTTACAGAGCAAAAAAGGGGAAGAGAATGAGATAAATAAAACCTTTCCCCTTCCACAGCTTACCTCTCTACAGTTCAATGCCCACCCACCAACATAGGTTGAGAGACTTATTTGGCTTCCTTCATACCTGTACTCCCTTCAACACTTAAAAGTCTCCCCTTGGTCTCAGCATTCTGTGGCATTACAAGAAATCTAGATTTACATTAGTGCTTGGAAAACTGGCCTTACAGATGAGAAAAGAAAAATAAGTTATATTGGCAAGCTCTGATTTACACTCACACATCTACCATTCTCAAGTCCAGCTTGTCCACAGATTCTGTGTCACCTCTTCTCTCTCTCCCCAGCCCAAGAAACCAGATATTTTTCACTTCGTTTACACCCAGAGGCAGCAATGTACGAACATGGCGATTCTTCCAGCAAGCACACCAGCAGGCATAGAAAAACAGAGGCAAGTCAGGTTTATCACTTGGGCCAAACTGGCAAGGCAAGTCTTTCTCGGAGGCAGTAGATTTGGGTAAAAGCAACAACTGCAGCAGTAACTAATGGGCACTTTTTAAAAAAGGAAGAAAAAGGGCTATGGGATATGTTGCTCACTAAGGGAATCTCTTAAGAGTCATTTTGTTACTCAGGAAAGACACAGACTTTTGCTCCAACAACAGATGCACTGCACGAGCTGCGTAGTCCATTTAAAACTCATCTCAGGAGGCACTTGCCATTCTAACTCTTGCCCGCCCAGCCCTGAATGTTTTATGAAAAATTTCATAGCTTTCATAGCCATTATACTGTTCAAATTCTTTTCCTCTTACTGTATTAAGCAGAAGGCTTCACAGTGCAGGAAAACATTGTTTTGTCTTTTACCGAAAAGAACTATCAACGAAAAGCAAACAGTGGGGGGAGACATGGGAAAGGGTGGGAGAGAAAAAGTAGAGTAACTGAGGTCTGATAAGATTTGTCAGAAGATCAAGGAACAGCCAGGGAATGGCGGTTTGTAGCTCAGGAGCAAAAAAGATGCTTGAGGCAAGACGTAAAACACATGGCTAAACTGCAAGAGCACAGGATGGGAGTCTAACACGGCCTCTTTAGAACTTCCCTGTTTGTTCTGATTCTGCCACAGAGTTGAGCTGCCATTCTGACAACATGGCTCAGAGATTACGGGTTGAAAAGCCTGTTGTGCATCTCCTTTGCTGCCTCTGGCCATGTTAGCAAGACAAGATCTTGTGCCCAAGACCAGCTTTCAGAAGGACTTGATACAGCAGCATAGGACTGGCCTCTCTCGGCCTTGGGATGTGAAGCTTCCCTCTGGCACCCTCAAGACTGGAAACTGTTTTCCTCTTATCAGTCATTGCTCTAGCAGGGGCTAAGTCAGTGATAGTGAGTTTGGCTGTCCAGCACAGGCCCGGTTCTGTATTCTCCTTCAGTGCCTTCCAGCTCAGTTTCAAAGCTCTGAAGACCAGCCTCCTCCATATTCTCTGCTTGCTCCAGACGGCTGCCCATGGTACCATAGGACTGGTGAGCCGGCGAGGCTGCTGGCGTCAAGCTGAGCTCTGGCTCTTGAAGCACCGTGGCAACAAACATCTGAGGCAGAAAAGCAAGGAGGTTACAACGGCAGCTCTTTCCACTGCATCGCTTTTACTGACAAGCCAGATCTGTCTTTTAATTAAGACCTCCCTCCTCCCTTTGTCAGCCAGGCTCAGGCAACCAGAACTGAGAAAGGTTATTCCCTTGTTCTCTCTCTTTTTTAACCACTCTCCCAGAATCCCACAGGCATCGTGGACAAGTCTGAAGAAACTCTGACAGAGACTGCCCCAAAGGCTTTTCCTGAGAGCTCCAGCTCTATATAGAAAATGCTGGCATATGTACCTTAACAAGCATCTGTTTAAAAGCTCTGGGATATGGGAAGCACATGTACAAGACAAGCAAGGGAGTCTTGAGGCAAAGGGACGATGCACTTACATTTGAATTGGGGGTTGAGGAAATGCTGCTCCTTTCCATGTCATTGAACACTCCTTCAGATTGCTCAGACATCTGCTTGTAGGTGGAGAGGGGTATAAAAGTCAGGAGAGGAACGGAAAAATACAGATACATTCCCTGTCTGCAAGTTTCCAAAAGATGTTATCTCTAAACCAAGGAAGGGGCACCTGGGATTCCTCCAAGTCTATTCAGACAGAAGCTCCTGTCATCCCTGTCTACTGGCCATGCTGGTTGGGGCTGATGGGAATAGGACTATAACAAAATTTGGAGGGCCAGTGGATCCCACTCTGATCCTAACGGACCTTGGATTTTGGATTACATCTGGAGAGGACCAGATGATGAGATTCAGGCCCAAGTGGGTCAATTAACCCAAGGTGACTGACACATACAACAACTCAGAAAAGATCTGTAGGACAAGAATGATGAGACCATAAGAAGGGGATACAATGGTAGTAAGAAAATGTAAGCCCCCTGATACTTTACACTGTTAATAAGGAATGGTAATTCCACTGAGTTTTTAAACTGATGTCATTATCTTTGTGCAGGCGAAACTTACTCAGCAGGATTCAGGCAAACAGAATTCCCATGTTTCTTCATTTTTCCTGTTGGTGCTGGGTGTGTAAAAGGCACATCCATACATCCACCTATTGCTGGGAAGTTGTTTGTAGGACAAGTTGGAAATGGTTTGGGAACAGATTTGTGTGAGCATTATGCAGTTAGTATGTGTATTGTCCAGGAAAAAGAAGAAGTGGGAACCACCTTTTAGTTTTGATATAGGCTCTTCATGTACCTTAGGATGCAAAGAAACAAATGCAGGAAACTACGCACAACTTTTCTTTTTTCTTACCTGGTAACTGGAGGGCTTCTTTGGATGCAGCTTCTTCAGACAAACGCCAAGAAATGTAGAAAAGATGCAGGAGAAGAGGATTACGAAGGTGAAGATAGTGATGGGATGGATAGTGCCTACAGCATTGAAGAACAAAGAAACAGTGTCCCAGGCTACCATAATATATTTTGCTTTTAAAAATATGCAAACGCACATACAGATCTATACAGATCTGTTTTGCTCTGCTTCTGCAAGCAACAAGTTTGTGAACATTTCATTTAAAGCTGTGCAAAAGTGTACATGCATTTTCATGTGCACAGAAGTCTGCCTATACAGATGACTTCCACATAATACACATGGTTTAGCAAATGTTTTTCTCTACTAAGTGTCTTTTTGTATGTAATTTCCTATAACATATGCATTTTTTTGACCAGACATGGTAAGTGCACAAACGGAAAGACAATTAGGTTCCAGTTCACTTAGTAGTTCAGGAAGTATAAATAAGGCTGGTTTGGATTAAAGTGTAAACCTAACAAAATGCCCTTGTGAACACAGTCCACTTCAACAAACCTAATTCAGATCTGCCTCGTATCTATCCAGCCACTGATACAGACTTCTACACACCTGTAGAGCTCACAAGTCAGGTTCTCCTGGGCCTCTCCATCTCTCACTTTACAATAAATATTCTGAAATGAGACTTGCAAACCTCATTCACAGCAGCATCTGTGTGCAGGAGAGGACCATGAACCTCAGGTCCAAACATTTCCATTAGAAGCAGAGTGAAGGAAGCAGGAACCTGTCACATATCTGAAAATCCCTCCACTTTCCTCAGTAATGCCATTGGCCTCAATACTACAATATCTATTATCTTTGATTTCTGGAAAGAGAAGTACTGGTGGCATACTTAGAATTCCCTGCTGCAGAACAAAGGAGGGCCCTAGAGCTCTCTGGTAGGAAATTTGAAGTACAGTGGTGCCTCGCTTAACGATTGCCTCATTAAACAACGAAACCGCTATACGATGACTGTTTTGCGATTGCTTTTGCGATCGCAAAACAATGTTTTAATAGGCAAAATTCACTTCCCGACGATCGATTCCCTGCTTTGGGAACTGATTTTTCGCTAGACAATGTTTTTAAAACAGCTGATCGGCAGCTTCAAAATGGCTGCCCGCTATGTAAAATGGCTCCCTGCTGTGTTTTTGGACGGATTCCTCGCATTAAAGGCACAAAAAATGGCCGCCCTTATGGAGGATCTTCGCTGGACAGTGACTTATTCAGCCCACTGGAACGCATTGAATGGGTTTTCAATGTGTTTCAATGGGATTTTTTTATTTCGCTTAACGAGGATTTCGCTGGAATGGATTATCCTCGTTAAGCGAGGCACCACTGTACTTCATGAAACAACATATCCCAGGATTTCATAGGAGGCAGCCAAGGCAGAGGTGGAGCTTGATCACAGTGAAGCCAGCAGCTCCCAGCTAACAGCTCCCAGGAAAACCTGGAACCGCCCATCCCGTCGTCCCTCTAGAAAGGGCGGGATGGAAGGGGAGGCCAGGAGAGGTCACCCCCAAGCAGATGGTGAGCCCAGAAGGTAGAAGTTTTGGCAACAACTGGGTCTTTCTTCCCTCTGAAAATTCACCTAAGCACGGACCGGAGACGGAAGGCCAGCTTATGGCAGAAAGCTGTGTGAAAACTCCACCCCCAAATTCCCAGAGTAGAACAAAAATACGGCCAAAAATACACAATAACAAAGTCTTTGATTTATGAATAACCTCATTAAGATGCTAAAGAAACTAAATACTTAATATGAATATATTGGATGATTGTATACTCTGTGTTCTCCTATCTTCAAAACCCTTTCCCCATCCCTTACACTTCCTTTTACCTTTTGTATTCCCTACCCTATTCCCAGTAGTTTAAAAAATAAAAAAATTATTTTTTAAAAAAGGAGGCAGCCAAGGCAGTTAAACGGGAGCCAAACTCTTGTAACTGTATAGTGCAAACAAACAAACAAAAACCACCTGGGTACAAATCAGCTTTAGAAACTGTGGCTGTGTGAGCTTCCGTGGCCATGGAGTTGCTGCCCAACCTTGTGCCAGTTGATGCTAGAGAAGCCCTAGGCTTTTAAAGGAACAAATGTCTGTTTCGGGAAGGCTCAGGTGGCGCTCCTGACCTACCTAGACGAAGGATGGAGAAGAAGAGCAGCCAGAACATGCAGAGGGTGGGAGCCACCACCACCTGGCTGACAGCGGCAGAATGAATGCGTTGGTTCATCTTGGTGGGGATATAAACATAGTAGATGTTGTACCGGTCCACCATGTACTTCAGCAACATATACAGCAAACCTGTGGGGGAAAGAGATTGGAGAGGATGCGGTAAAGCCCATGGCTACTTGGAGGAGACTTTCAACGGGATGGAGCCTAGAGAGATGCAGTAGTGGGAAGGCTTCTCTTCAAACTTAAAAGAGGAAGGGTTTTTGTTTGTTTATCAGTGTCTCCCAACCAGCACAGGAGGTTCAGTTCAGGAAATAACTGTGAAATTCTAGCCACTACTCAGCACATGCTTGAATCTTGTTATATGCCATCAAGTTGCTTCTAATTTATGATGATCCTATGAATTAATGACCTCCGAAAGGTCCTGTACAGGTTTTGCAAACTAAAGATTGTGGCTTCCCTTTTTGAGCCTGTCCATCTTATGTTTGAGTTCCCTCTTTTCCTACTGCTTCCCACTTTCTCTGGTATTACCGTCTTTTCCAGTGAGCCTTGTCTTCCTTGTGACAGATCTAAAGTATAATAGCCTCAGATTAGTTATTTTAGCTTCTAGTGAGAGTTCAGGCTCGATTTCATCTAGCACCCAATTATTAGTCTTTCTGGCAGTTTGGGATATTTGTAAACCTCTTCTCCGGTAGCATGCAACAGGTTTAATGGCTGCCATTTTTCAAGTCCAAAATTATCAATGGCAGAGCAGAAAAAACCCTCTGATCCAGATCTTGCATTGCTGCTGTCAATCAGATCAGACATAGCTACTTGTTTGGAGGAAAGGTCCTATTAGTTTATCCTACTATTTATTGTATCTGTTGAATGTTTGTATTATTTTATTCTTATTGTGTTTTAATATTGTGTTGTTTGTCTTGTTGTTGTCAGCCGCCCACAGTGGCCTTGCTGCCAGATGGTGCGGGGTATAAATCTAATAAATAAATAAATAAATAAATAAATAAATCTTATTGACTATTCACTATTTCTTCCACTATATCAACATCCTGTTGATATAGCACATTGTTGGCACTAAAGTATATGCTAGTTAACTGTATAATGACATGTGTGTATCTAGCATTTCATTTATCTTTTAGACAAGCCACTGTGTTTGCCACCCCACATCCAGGTCAGGACTACAGGCTAGAAAGGGATTAACTCTTCGTTAATGTCATCGTTTACAATCGTAATTCCTTGATTGGGCCTCATAGGCTTGTCTGCCACTGCAGAGCCTATCTGCACTGGCTAGGGGTAAAAGCAGGGGTGGACAAACTCCAGTATTGACTATTCACTATTTATTCCACTATATCAATATCCTGTTGCTATAGCACATTGTTGGCACTAAAGTATATGCTAGGTTAACTGTATAATGACATGTGTGTATCTAGCATTTCATTTATCTTTTAGACAAACCACTGTGTTTGCCACCCCACATCCAGGTCAGGACTATAGGCTAGAAAGGGATTAACTCTTCGTTAATGTCATCGTTTACAATCGTAATTCCTTGATTGGGCCTCATAGGCTTGTCTGCCACTGCAGAGCCTATCTGCACTGGCTAGGGGTAAAAGCAGGGGTGGACAAACTCCAGTGGTGCGTGGGGGGGGGGCTACATCCCATCACTGGACTTTGGAGAGCTGCATGCACTCCCATGACCTCCAAGTCCCTTCCCAACTCTTATGAAAAAAGCTGAACTTCTTTGAAACTGCAAAAGCCTCCTTGCACCCTCTGGTGGGAAAAGTATACTTAGTTTAAACAACTGAATATGTGGTGTGGAGGAAGTGCCCAGAGAGATGGGCCTTCAAACACAGCAAAATTGCCTCCTAGATACCACACAGGGACTTTTTGAGCAAATATTTTCTTGGTTTTTTAAAAAACTGGCTATAGGGCTTTCAAGATAAAAGGGGTCTGTCACCCATTCCAGTCAAGACTCTATAAAGATGGTTAAAGACAACAGAAGGTGATTTGGGGGCACCAGCCTATATACTTACCAAAGGGGACAATAATGGGGCAGGTGATACTGTAGGTCATGACAACAGCAAATATGCAGCAGGTCCAGGCATACTCCAATCCAAACTGGAACTCATAAGCTTGGTTCCTATAAAGATGCTTAAAGACAAGTGAAGGTGATTTGGGGGCACCAGCCTATATACTTACCAAAGGGGACAATAATGGGGCAGGTGATACTGTAGGTCATGACAACAGCAAATATGCAGCAGGTCCAGGCATACTCCAATCCAAACTGGAACTCATAAGCTTGGTTCTGTGGAAAACATAACAATCCTATTATCTCGATGCCTTCAGCTTTATTATGAGAGTGAAAGTTACTCTGAGGGGAGAATGACAGCATAATCAACAGGTCCTGCAGAAATATCATGAAACCATGGCTTGCTTTCTTTAACTGAGTATTTGCATACGAGTACCCTAACTGTGGTTAAGGGTTTTTACCATGCTTCAACAAAGAAGAAAGTGTCTTTTAAAGAAAGAAAATCAAGCTATTCAACAAGTGCCATGTAGCTCTATGGTACATATTACACGACATGAGTCAATCCAACAGATGTACATTGAATAGACCAGTGATCCTCAACCTTGGGCCTCCAGATGTTCTTGGACTACAGCTCCCAGAAGCCTTCACCACCACCTCTGCTGGCCAGGATTTCTGGGAGTTGAAGTCCAAGAACATCTGGAGGCC